CATATATAGGATGCCAGACCTGAGACTTTAGATATGTACACCCGGAAGACCTTCCAGGTAGGATTGAGTCACCTGGAGGGGCTTTTGAGGTGTTGGTCTGTGTGGCTGGTGAATCTGTACTGTCATTTTTGCTGACTGTTCAATAGTTAGTGAATGCTTAGCACGTGCTAATTTGCCCAAATGACTACTTATAAATATGGTAAACTGCATGATAGACAATTTCAGCTGTTTGCATTGTACCAGGCTTATTTCTTAAAGTGTTCCCCATTATATTATACCTTTTAGAGTTGTTTGTCATGTGCTGCTCTGATTTGGATGTGTTTGGTAAAGCCACAAAAATCTGCATGTGCTATCCTGTGCTATCATTCCCATTGACCATACAGTAGACTGCCATTTGTATTCCATGTCTGTGTTGAAAAAAAGAAAGATTTTACCAGCAAACAGTATTGAATGTAAGCTCTAGAATTGCAGCTCCCATTAGAGGTAAACATCCAGGAACTTGTGAGGACACTTGAAGAGGAAGGATGGAGAGTGAAAACAATCTACAACCCTAGTGCCCAACTTCCACCCCAAGGACCACACAAGGCTCTTTAATACTTGCTGTACATCCTGTAGACTGCGGTTTGCAGTACCACTGGGAACATTTAATTATTAAAGGATAAAAGCTGTGATCGCCACCAGCGTCATACAAAATGTTCCCAGTCTATTATTGTATTCTTCAATGGCCAACCTGATCTGTAGCATGTCCACAGTCTCTGATTGTAATTTTCTCTAAAATATGAGCAGTCACTGACAGTCCCCTCTAGCTGCCACGATCTGGATCAGGCTCAGAGTCCAGTAGCTGAAACAGCAGGCAAAGTCGTAGTCAAACAGACCGAGTTCGGTACACAAGCAGACGGTAGTAGTATAGGAGCAGGCAGAAGCGTAGTCAGAGATCAAGCCGAGGTCAGTAGCCAAAGGTATCAGGTATGAAGTGGAAGATGATGAGAGTAGTCAGTGAATCAGCAACCAAAGGTCGGTACACGGGTAGTAGTATGAGCAGATTGTATCACAGGAGGAGCAAGGAAGCAAGATATTGGCAGGAGCACAATAATCTGGCAAACAGGAAGTGCAGAGGCGTGGCTTAAATAGGACATTCAAGAGAGAAGCAAGGAGTTCAGAGTTCAGCAGAAACTAGGTTTACCTGAGGATTACACAAGAGATCAGGCAAGGAACTATCCAAGGTTCTAAGGTGGCTCAGCAGGTAGAACCACTGCCAGCTACAGCAGAGGCCCTGGGCTCAGATCCAGTTCCTGACACTAGCATTAGATATACTGAACATTATGTGTGGCCCTTTGGTAATGTCAGGAGGTCTCCTATACCCCATAAGCTGACAACCATTGGTCTAGAGACTGATATTTCCCTTGACAATTCTCTTTTTTGCACACCTGAAGTGAGAGCAACATGTGAGCTGTCACTACTGATTGTCTTCTGAAAATGGCTGATGCCTGGCTGTTATTGTGACATTCTGGCTTTAAAATCTTTTCAATTGGTGAAAAACATGCAAATCAGGAAGGGGAGAGCAAAGTCAAAGGACAGATGTTTTTTTCTATGTCAGTTCAAGAAAAAGGTCAGCTTGACAGCCAAGCAATACCTTTTTTTACATACAAGGTCTGCAATAGTAGGCTCCTTGTCTCTCATGACAAGTTCCTTTTTATGGTGAGAAAGTTTAGCTTCTGTTTCTATACAAAGTTTGGCTGTGTACCACCTGTGCTGAATCCCTACTCTCGGTCTGTGCTAACCGTTATTCTGTGGTATATTTTCCTTCAAAGACAAAGTCCAATGGGAAGAACCAGGAGCTCGGTTCATTTCTCTGGAGGGCACAGCTTACGCTCTGCTTGCTCTACTGCGTTTGAAAGAATATGAACTCACTGGGCCAATTGTACGCTGGCTGACCGAACAAAGATTCTATGGAACAGTGTACGGATCTACACAAGTAAGCAGCATGAATACTTCTACCCTTACAAAACAGAGCCCAACTCATCTTTCAGCTTAAATCAGATAAATATATTCCAGTTGCATCAAAACAAGACATACAAAGTCTTACATCTTTTTTCTCTTGAGTTGTCAAATATTTCACCTGCCAACATGTTGCAGAGAAAGAGCCTTGCTCTCTGTATGGAAACAGTGGTGTCTCTGCAGAGGTCTAACACTCCCCCCTGCAAAGTCAGACCTATAGCTCTCCAGTCAGCAAAACTCCCTCCTGATTGGAGGGCTCTAGCTCTGACTCAGCAGGGGGAGTGCCAGACCACTGCAGAGAGAACACTGCTTCCACACAGAGAATAAGGGTCCTCCTCTACAGCATGCTAACAAGGGACAGGAGACTACTCAGGCTGTGGCTGCTTTTTACAGAATGTAGCGCTCACCCCCAAAGGAGCCGCTGAATATGAGATAGGTTCTCCTACCTGTTTACGCCAACCACCGACCCCTTTACTCAGGACTAGCAACACCGACACTCAGGAATAGAATAGACTCCAGTCTTAGGGTCTTTTGGATATTTATTTGTAGTATCAACAGTAGAGGGAGGGTTTAGGATCTGTAGGATGCCCTGACAGCTTCCTCCCCTAGCAACAGCTAAGGTTAATAGCCCCGTGGTCCGGTCAGAGTGACCAATGATAGGAACAGTACTGCGAGCAGCCAGGATGGTCCAGTAACTTGTATAGCAGACACCTGGAATAGGGTGAGGGTTCTCTTGTAGGGTCCAGACGGTAGCTCTCGCCAGCTCCTCTGCAACACTCCTTGACAAGAAGACTCAACCTCCAGCCCAGCTTCCATCAGGTTCCCTTGCAGCTGTATCTGAAATCTCTGTGCCCTCAGCATCTGCCACTTGCTGAGGTGTATGCCACATATCCAGTGGTGTATTCTAGTTCTAGGCACCCAACACGTGTATGGGCCCAAGCAAAGTATCTGTGGTATCCTAGGCCTCTAGGCCCCTCAGCACCTGCCATGTGCTGAGGCCCAGGCCAGTCTCTTGCATCACATAGGCCTCCTAGGGAGAGGCCCCAGGATGGAGAGAGACTGCACAGTGTCCCCAAATCTTTTATCACCTGCCCTCAACCCTGCCTCTGAGTAATCCTGCTCAGGGATTGGTCAGGGTCAGGTGCATAGTCACAGTCTGAGGATGGATCCTCCCTCCCTGTATGCCAAGGCTCCCTTTTCCTCAGCAACAGGAGGAACAATCAATCCAGCAAACTCAGGGACACCTATAGAATGCAGAAAGCTGAATAATCGGTATCTAGACTAGTTATAGGCCAGATATTCACTAAATTTGATAGCGACATTTTAGAGGGCGCTACAAGAAAATAACTTTCACTTTTTACATATTTTGATTGGATGCACCTGGAATTTGTTTAACTCTTTTAAAACTTAAAGATTTTGGGGCTTTAGAGTGTATCTCCAGTCAAATATTCATATTTGCATCCAGATTACCCCCTGTGTATATTTATTGTGTTCTCATTGTTTTCCTTCCTTTACATTCCCTAGTTTCTGTCTGTTGTGTCAATCACTGTGAATATATATTGACCATGACTGCTATTTACTAAACTTTGGTTTTCTTCATTGTCTTCTAGGCCACCATCGTTATGTTCCAAGCCATGGCTCAGTACCAGATAGATGTCCCATCGGCTACCACTTTAGATATGGATGTGTCTATCCAACTTCCAGAAAGACAACAAGCCACACGGTATCGCCTCAATATTGGTAATGCACTGCTTGCACGCTCTGCTGAGGTAAGAGTCACAGTGTTTGGAACACTAAACTAGGCAACTGTTTTTAATAAACCAGAACAGCACTGCCCATTCAAAGCATAAGGCAATACTAGAGAAGAGCAAACTATTAGTGATGTCCCTGTATTTTCAGTCAGGTGTCCTGCAGCTGTTCCCGTGGAGACTTCCTTTGATTCTACTCCTCATCTGCTGTCACTTCTCTGTCTGTAGTCAGTTTATGCGCTAACCTGAACTGTGTGCAGAAGAAATGCTCATATTCCGACTGGCTGCAACTGCTTTAAAGTGTATCAGAACCTGGAGTTTAATGGTTCATTTTAACATTGATCAGCTTATGCTTTCGAATTTCCTCCTTAGCCATCTGAGATTGACCTTGCTTTTTGACTTCGCATGAGTCCCACCTACATAGAACTCACTGAGATCCTCTTTTTTATCTTTGCAGTAGGCTAAAGGTGCTGATGTTGCAGGTCATTTCCATAATGATAACACAGCTCCTTGTCTGTAAAGTGATCAATAGAAACATTTGAAAGTGGTTATGTGATAGCTGTGTGTATAGACTAGGGCTCTGTATTAGAATTAAAGTGAGAATTTCAGAAAGTTGACTTATGGGGAGATTCACACTTGCCATCCGTGTAACAAGGGATGCACCGTTACTGGTTTTTCGGTATAGAGTATGAGTACCGATATTTTTTTTCCGGTACTCTCCGATATCAAATACCAATACCAGATGTCCCATTAAGGAAGCCATGCTGCGTGTAATGACTTGAAACCTGGCTTCCTGATTAGCCTGGGAAGCCGGGCGGCGAGTCATTACCCGCCTCCCGGCTTTCTGATTGGCCAGAAAGCCGACTTCATGCTCTCTCGTCACCAGGTGATGAGGAAGCATGGAGCCGGCTCTCTGGCCAATCAGGAAGCCGGGAGCCGTGTAATGACTTGTTGTACAGCTTTCTGATTGGCCGAGTAGCCGGCTCCATGCTCCCTCGACACCAGGTGACGGAGAAGCATGAAGCCGGCTTTCTGGCCATTCAGGAAGCCGGGGGGCACCGTCTGGCTTCCTGATCAGCCAGCTTCCCAACCAATCGGGTCACCAAGTGACGAAGGAGCATGGGGCCGGCTTCCCGGCCAATCAGGAAGCTGGGCAGTGTGTAATGACTCGCTGCCTGGCTTCCTGATACCGGAAGCTCAGATATCAGGCTAGGCATTGGAGCATTTGGGCGAGTACGAGTACTCGCCAAAATTCTTGGCATCGGCACCGATACCGATAGCATCCCTACTTGTAACCATTACCACCAGGATGGAAAGTGATAGTAATCCATAATTTCACAAGTGTCATCAGAAAAGGAGGTAAGGGAAACCTCCAATGACAAAACCTGTTTTGGTGGCAACTGTCTAAGAAGGTTTTTACCTTGGAGTGTTGGAGGTTAGAAGCCACCTGAAGTCTGGCAGCTGCTGCCCTGGTCCCTGCCCGATTTCATACATTGTCTCCCAACCCCTAAGAGGGGTATTTGACACTGTTATGCACTCTCTGGAACTGGGAGACAGTGTTTATGGTCAGGCAGTTTATTTCTTCACAGCTGATTACTGGCAATGGAAACATGAATTTGAAACGTTAAAGTGGTTCTTCCCCTTTTGGGCTATCTTTCTCTAATTCATCCACAAAACAAATTTTATTGCAGACCCGACTGAACAAGGAGTTTGAGGTGACTGCAACAGGCAAAGGACAAGGAACACTGACAGTAAGTTCATACCATATTCATTTCCAGTTCTGAAATCTAATTTATGAAGAGGCCACAGATTCGTGTTGTGGTTAAGGTTTTTCTTCATAAATATTTGTGACCAATAAACTGTCATCGCTATTATCTAACTGTGACTAATAAATGTTATCTGTAAAAGTATCACCCTAACCGTCCCCTCCGCTCTTCCAAAGACCTCCTGCTTTCCAGCTCCCTCGTCAACTCCTCCCATGCTCGCCTCCAGGACTTCTCTAGAGTCTTTCCCATCCTCTGGAAGTCTTTACCCCAACCTGTCCATCTATCTCCCACTCTGACTGCCTTTAAGAGACTCATCTCTTCAGGGAAGCCTATTCCACCTCAACCTAACCACTCAACCATAACATTCTCTAACAATTCATCCCCACACAGCTCCCTCCTCATGTATCACTTGCCCCTCCCTTTTAAGCCCTCAGGGGCATGGGCCCTCCTTACCATCTTGTCTTGAATTGTATTGTGATTGTAATGTCTTCCTTATATTGTAAAGCGCTGCACAAACTGTTGGCGCTATATAAATCCTGTATAATAATAATAATAATCTGGACAATAAGAAGCATATGGTTCTCTCTTCCCTAAAGATTTGAAGACTACTCCAAGGACCCAACTGTTGGTCTTGGCATACTGGAGAGCTCACATATGAGAAAATCCCACACCTTTTTGAGATACTTTCCTACAAAAGAGTTCAGTGCCCCAATTCCTCACTTTCCTAACAGATTTGAGGTCACCATCCAGGTTTAGCATTTGCCAGCTGAGTGACGGGGGGCAGAGATTAGTGCCAGGGGGTGGTGGGTATAAAGCTGGCCATACACCAGCAGAATTGTGTCGAAAAAATAAATGTTTTTGGCACCTTCGTTCGACTTTCTAATAGTTAATGGGGTCAAATCAATGATTGTTTTTGGCTGTACTGATGAGAAAATGTGAAGGTTCACAATGGAAATTTTCTTTCGAATGAACACAAATTCTAACCATGAATGTGATTTCCATGTGGAAAAAAAATCATACATATTGTAATCTGCATGTGTGGAACACAAAATAAATCACTTTAATACGCCTGGGATTCCACTGAAGTAACTGGTCTGCACACAATTTCAAGGGCTTTAAATGAATCAGTCGAATCAATTATGGAGAGTACAAATAATCTGACGAATGATTTTTCAGAATTTCTAACAAAAGTTTAAACAGAATTCTACTGGTTTATGGCCAGCTTTAAAAGAGAACTATGGGGTAAGTGTTTTTCAACATAGTTCTATTTAGGGTCACGGGAGGACATATACTAACCTCCTCCCGTGACCCAAAACTCAGTATAAAATAAATGGATGTCACCAGCACACCAACAGTGTTGAAGTCCAAAGTGTTCATTTATTGGAACATCATGTCATCAAAACGTCTGGTGACATGATGTTCCAATAAACAAACACTTTGGACTTCAACACTGTTGGAGTGCTGGTGACATCCATTTATTTTGTACTGTTTGGTGGCGCCAACAGGGTCACTGCGAGCACCCCCCCTTATTTAATTTGGGGCTTCCCGGTAAGGAGTGTGGCAACGTATTTCTATGTTTGTTCCAAAACTCAGTATATAGCGGGCTATTGCCCGTCATATACTGTGAGTGCAGCAGCCGGGACGGATGCCGACATTACTGTCGAGATCTACCCAGCTGCGTGAGTGATAGCTGGCTCTGCCTATCTAGAGGCAGAGCCAGCTGTGCCCGCCCCCTCCCTTGTCCGTTCCTCCACTCAGCACTGGAGGATCGGAGCGGGGAGAATCCCTGCAGGGAGCAGTGACTGACAGTCACCGCTCCCTGCATGGAGACAATGGAGAAGTGAGCAGATCGCTGCATGTATCCGCTCACTTCTCGATCGATAGAGCCGACGTCTGACAGCTTCTTTGTCACAGGTCGGCTCTAAATATGAAGATGAGTGGAAATCACTCACCTCATAGATCTCCTTTAATTTCAATTCGGAGAGAAGCAGAGTCCCTGTGTGCATTCTGGGCCTAGGACTCAAGGGGCTGCAGTAGGACCAATACTCACCAATGTGTAAATACATATTTTATTTTATTTTTCCAATTTTGGGGGGATTAAACTGTCCCTGTGAACAAATAGAGACTTCAACCTAGTTTCCACAAACCATTATTATCATTCTTGGCAAGACCAGTGTAAAGGAAAACTGACTCTACATGTATTACTATGACTGTATTATAATTCAATGTCATGTGTGTGTTCCTCTCAGGTCATGTCAGTGTATCATGCTATTGTGACAGAGAAAGAACGGCAATGCAAAAACTTTGATTTGACCGTCAAAGTTGAAGAAGAACCACATGGTGAGTGTCCAGCTTGGGGACTTTTACAGTTCTGGTTTTGTTTTGCCCAGGGAAGATGGAGACTTATGCTATGTGCGTGGTCACAGACCTGGCAGAGCTTGGAGTTAGGTCTCAAAAAGGTTATCATAGGGCCCCTATGTTTTTTGTTACGTTGTGGAATATCATTGTCCTGTAAAATGAATCTAATATATTTTTGATGTTCCTCTATCTTTCTTTTACCACATAAGGCCAGCACCATCTTAGTTCAGACATTATTCAGTGCCAATGTCTACATCCTGTACTAATATCCTGGCCAAGAGATGATAAAGTCATGTCCCAAGCCAAGCTTTTATGTTCTCGATTGTGTGCGCATCTCGCACACATCAGCTCCCTTAAGTTTTTCCCACACAGTGAACCAGTGAGTGATCACCAGGGGAGAGAAGACTGAGGAAACTATGAGGCAAGTGATTTTCACTCATCTTCATAGTCCGAGCTGACGTGTGACAATGAAACTGTCACAAGTCGACTCAATAGATCGGGAAGTGAGCGAACACATACAATCGCTCGCTCACTTCTCGAGCATCTCCCTGCAGAGAGACGTGACTGTCAGTCACGGCTCCTTGCAGGGATTCTCCCTTCGCCTCTCCAATCCTCCAGCGCTGAGTGGAGGAACGGATGGGGGAGGGGGCGGGTATAGCTGGCTCTGCCTCTAGATAGGCAGAGCCAGCTGTCAGTGTGCAGCGCTTTTTAACCTCCCCAGTGTAAACTACAAAATAAGTAAAAGTATTCCAACATGTGATATAGACTCCAGTGATCCGTGTGTCTATCGAATAAATGATGTGTCACAAAAACATTAACGTGAAAGTTGCTAAAAGGTGCATTTGAATAAAACAATTAATGAAGAAAAAAACCAGTGAGTAAATCACATCTATATGTGGCAACTGAAGTAGCTGAATAAGTACCGCAAAGGCAGTGGTGTGCATTCGTTGCAAAGTGCACTTATAAGTGAATAGGTGTAACACAAAAACAACCGCAATTTAAAACTTGCAACTAAGTAATAATTTCTCTCAAGTGAAAACAAAGCATCAAATCCATCGAAACAGTGACAAGAAGAAAATAAACTTTCCGTGAGGTTGCACTCCACCTGTTTGGGGCTGTGCACTCGCCCCAAATGTCCTGCTAATGATGAATAGCTGCCCTGATGGTCTGGATCAGACTGCAATGATAAACCTCCCAAGTGTTTCAGAAGAAAAGTCAATCAGTTCAAATAAAAAATCTTCAAAACTTTGGCAATAGACACCCTTCACGTCCTTCGACCGTTCAGTGTCCAGACAGGATCAAAGTTCCGAGTTTTCACTTGAGAGAAATTATTATTTAGTTGCAAGTTTTAAATTGCGGTTGTTTTTGTGTTACACCTATTCACTTATAAGTGCACTTTGCAACGAATGCACACCACTGCCTTTGCGGTACTTATTCAGCTACTTCAGTTGCCACATATAGATGTGATTTACTCACTGTTTTTTTTCTTCATTAATTGTTTTATTCAAATGCACCTTTTAGCAACTTTCACGTTAATGTTTTTGTGACACATCATTTATTCGATAGACACACGGATCACTGGAGTCTATATCACATGTTGGAATACTTTTACTTATTTTGTAGTTTACACTGGGGAGGTTAAATAGCGCTGCACACTTATCCTACATCCTATGAGGTCCTAACATTAACCTTTGTCTGGCGGCTTTATAACCCTAAACCCAGGTTTCATTTTCTGTATTATATACAAAAACATTTTTTTCTCAATTAGCGCAGATTTATTTCATATATAGAGCCAGCTGTCACTCACTCAGCTGGGTGGATCTCAACAGCATTGTCAAGATCCGTCCCGGCTGCGACGCTCTCAGTATACTGAGAGCTGTAGCTCGCGATATACTGAGCTTTGGGTCACAGTAGGACGCTAGTATATGTCCTCCGGTGACCCTTAGGAGAACTATGGGGAAAAGCACTGACCCCATAGTTCTCCTTTAACCTTAGGCACAGTCACTTGGCCTGGAGCTCAAGAACTGTATTCCAGCTATTTTAAAGGAAGCAGAAAATGTTCACTTCTTTTAACAGAGTATTCTTCTAAAAAACAGAATTTATTTATCACCCCATCAAAAAACAAAAACAAAACAAGGAGTATTTTTTTTCTTTTCAGTTAAGAGACCAGAAGGGGCTTTCTCAACTATTTCACTGGAGATCTGCGCAAGGTACGTATAGTCTTATTACACGACAACGTTTAAAAAATCCCCAGATTTGAAAAGCAGGATTTTAAAAAAATGACAAATAGCTGAAATCACCTATACTCGAAGGTTTAAGAAGTCATAATATCAGCACAGGGTTCCCTAAGCAAGACGGGGGGTGCGAAATTAAAATCGTAGGGGGCCTGCACATGCATGGGTATCTTGGTTTGCATACATTTTAACTCCTTCTCTGCCTGCTAGGATACTTTTTTTTTCTACTTATTGAACTGATGGTATACTGTGGAGAAGGCTACTGTAAGTAATTGTCTACAGTCTTTACACAGAGCAGGGAGATCTGTTAAGGAGATGGGTGATGCCTGCTCTCTACATGTTTCAGGCTAGTGAACTAGCTTCACAACACAGTCCCTCCCACTCTCAGCCTAAAGGCTGTGACACACTGCATGCAACACAGTGCGGAGCGGTGGCGCGCTGTCTTTGTGAGCAGTGTGTCATGTAATTTTGTCCCCGACACGTCAGCTTGCGAGAGCACGCGTAGCTGAGCGCGCCAAGATGAAAAATTTCCTGTCTTGCCATTTTCCTTTCCCTTTCTTTTGCCTTTCCTTTTCCTTTCCCATGTTTACCTTTCCTCTATTTTTCTCTTTTCTCTCCTCCCCTTTCTTTTCTCATTCCAATTCATCACTTTCCCCTCTTGCCCTTTTCTTTCTCTTTCCTTTCTTGTTTTTTCCTTCCACTTCCTTTGTCTTTTCCTTTCCCATTTCTTCTTGTGTTTCCTTGCCTTGCCTTTCTCTTGCCTTGTTCTTTCCTTTTCTTTCCTTTACTCCTATTTCCATTCCCTTTTCCATTCTGTTTCCTTTCCATTTATTCCATTCCTTTGTATTGCTTGCCTTTCATTTCATCTTTTTACTTTTCTTCTCTTTCATTTCCTTGCTCTTCTCTTTCCTTTTCTCTTTCCCTTCCATCATTTTTCCTTAATTTTTTTTATACTGCTTTAATGTTTCTTACTTCTTTGTTTTCATTGCCCTTCCCCTTTATTTGCTTTTCTCTTACTCTCTCTTTTCTTCCTTTACCTTTCCATCTTACCTCCCTTCCTTTCCCCCTATTTCTAACAAACATTTCCACCTTACAATAATAAGCTACTTTCACCTTTTTGTAGATTTTTGAGTGACCGGGATTCCACCATGTCTATTATTGACATTTCCATGATGACTGGATTCTCTCCGGACATTGACAGCCTTAATAGGGTGAGTTTCCTGACACAAGAACAAGAACTAGTTACACAATAAATGTATCTCACTAACGACGCACTTTATTCCCAATCTCAGCTATCAAAAGGTGTGGACAAATATATCTCCAAATATGAGATTAACAAGGGAGCGACGGAGAAGGGAACACTTCTGTTATATCTTGATAAGGTGAGAATATATATTAGTGTGTCATGTTTCAGTTGTCTGTCTGATCATCTAGTAGGGAAACTAGTATATATTCAGCGAGTATGTATTATGAATGCATACTGTAAAGTTTATATGAAAGTATTTGTGACATTATCTTGACATATTTTCACAACTGTGCTGTGCCTACAAAATGTGCAGGTGCTCTTTTTAGCAGCTATCACAATATCAGGTCATACAGGGGACCTTGTTGCTGAGCATCTGCTGAGATAAAATCAGTTACAGAATAAGCTATATAGTTTGTGTTTTTGATCACTCTGAGCTGGGTCTCAGCTTTGCACTGACATAAGAGCACAGCTCAGCTAGTGTATAATCCTGCAGTATAAATAAAAAAAACAAAACCTAGCATGTGGCCACATATGCAACTACTGGCAATGCGCAGAGATAAGGTTAAATATTACTTAAAGTGTCTTTTTCTGTAACATTTCAGATTTCTCACAAGAGGCACGGATGTGTGAAATTCTATGCACATCAGATCTTTCAAGTGGGTCTTATCCAGCCAGCTTCTGTCACAGTGTATGACTATTACACCCCAGGTAAATAACATCTATCGATCTATCTATCTATCTATCTATCTATCTATCTATCTATCTATCTATCTATCTAGTGAAATTTTAAGGCACAAAAACAGTTTTCAATGCAGTACAGCTTAGCAGTCTAACAAGTACAAGTAACATACGGGGCCCGTTCATTCACGTCAGTGCTACATGCCCATTCAGTGCTATGCACATAGCAATACTCCTCTCAGGGTGGTGTGGAAAACCCCCAAAAGTGGTATAGCAGAATGACATCTCCAAATGCCTCAGTTCTTAATCTCCTGGGTGCTTCCATGCATAGAATCCTTGGCGTATGGTGGGCAAAATAAGTCACTTTTGTCTTTGTGTGATTTTGTTGTTGAATAAACGTTGGGAAACGTTGAGGGTCGGAGATATAGTATACCGGGAAAAGATGCCAGCCACTGGTAGCAGGGTGAATCTCCCTTTTCAGAAGCAATTGATACCCCGAGCTTAGGAAAAACCCACCGAGCACAGAAGACATCAACAAATGCTTGGGCTAGCTGCAGACTTGCTACTAAAACAAACACAGAATTTGCCTAAGGGCACATAAGGCAGGGTCCCTACACGTGCGTTATCATCAGGGCCGGATTTACTCTCTCTGCTGCCCAAACCCCCCTCCCCTCAATGGAGCATGGAAAACAGAGGGCAGGGGCGGCAGGGTTAGTTTTAATTTTTTTTATTGTTTTTTTTTTTTACTTTATCACTTTTAATTTTTTTTACTTTTTATTTATCTTATCTTTTACTTTTTTAAATATTTTTTTTTTGCTTTTTTTGACATTTTTATTTATTTAATTATCTTTTTATAATTTATTTTGCACTTCACTTTATTGCTATCACACAGGAGCTAACAACCCCTGTGTGATAGCATTTGGAGGTAAGAGGTTCTCTTTATGGAACCTGCCACCTCCAATACAGGTTGTTGCGTAGAGGGGGTTAGTTGCTGGTGTTATCTCAGCTATCAAAAGGTGTGGACAAATATATCTCCAAATATGAGATTAACAAGGGAGCGACGGAGAAGGGAACACTTCTGTTATATCTTGATAAGGTGAGAATATATATTAGTGTGTCATGTTTCAGTTGTCTGTCTGATCATCTAGTAGGGAAACTAGTATATATTCAGCGAGTATGTATTATGAATGCATACTGTAAAGTTTATATGAAAGTATTTGTGACATTATCTTGACATATTTTCACAACTGTGCTGTGCCTACAAAATGTGCAGGTGCTCTTTTTAGCAGCTATCACAATATCAGGTCATACAGGGGACCTTGTTGCTGAGCATCTGCTGAGATAAAATCAGTTACAGAATAAGCTATATAGTTTGTGTTTTTGATCACTCTGAGCTGGGTCTCAGCTTTGCACTGACATAAGAGCACAGCTCAGCTAGTGTATAATCCTGCAGTATAAATAAAAAAAACAAAACCTAGCATGTGGCCACATATGCAACTACTGGCAATGCGCAGAGATAAGGTTAAATATTACTTAAAGTGTCTTTTTCTGTAACATTTCAGATTTCTCACAAGAGGCACGGATGTGTGAAATTCTATGCACATCAGATCTTTCAAGTGGGTCTTATCCAGCCAGCTTCTGTCACAGTGTATGACTATTACACCCCAGGTAAATAACATCTATCGATCTATCTATCTATCTATCTATCTATCTATCTATCTATCTATCTATCTATCTATCTAGTGAAATTTTAAGGCACAAAAACAGTTTTCAATGCAGTACAGCTTAGCAGTCTAACAAGTACAAGTAACATACGGGGCCCGTTCATTCACGTCAGTGCTACATGCCCATTCAGTGCTATGCACATAGCAATACTCCTCTCAGGGTGGTGTGGAAAACCCCCAAAAGTGGTATAGCAGAATGACATCTCCAAATGCCTCAGTTCTTAATCTCCTGGGTGCTTCCATGCATAGAATCCTTGGCGTATGGTGGGCAAAATAAGTCACTTTTGTCTTTGTGTGATTTTGTTGTTGAATAAACGTTGGGAAACGTTGAGGGTCGGAGATATAGTATACCGGGAAAAGATGCCAGCCACTGGTAGCAGGGTGAATCTCCCTTTTCAGAAGCAATTGATACCCCGAGCTTAGGAAAAACCCACCGAGCACAGAAGACATCAACAAATGCTTGGGCTAGCTGCAGACTTGCTACTAAAACAAACACAGAATTTGCCTAAGGGCACATAAGGCAGGGTCCCTACACGTGCGTTATCATCAGGGCCGGATTTACTCTCTCTGCTGCCCAAACCCCCCTCCCCTCAATGGAGCATGGAAAACAGAGGGCAGGGGCGGCAGGGTTAGTTTTAATTTTTTTTATTGTTTTTTTTTTTTACTTTATCACTTTTAATTTTTTTTACTTTTTATTTATCTTATCTTTTACTTTTTTAAATATTTTTTTTTTGCTTTTTTTGACATTTTTATTTATTTAATTATCTTTTTATAATTTATTTTGCACTTCACTTTATTGCTATCACACAGGAGCTAACAACCCCTGTGTGATAGCATTTGGAGGTAAGAGGTTCTCTTTATGGAACCTGCCACCTCCAATACAGGTTGTTGCGTAGAGGGGGTTAGTTGCTGGTGTAGCCG